AACTACAGGTAACCCCCGTATAACACAGGAGTTATGTTCCAAAAAATTGAAGTGTTATGCGAATCTGTGTTATACAAAACAAAGAACTAGTGCAAAAAGGGGGGGTTAGGTTGCAAAAATTAAAAAACATGCTGTTAAATCCTTATTTAAATCAGATTTATTATTCATTTTTTTTCTGGTAAAATATTTACTTAAATAATAAGTAAATATTTTACCAGAGGATTATTCATCCTATATGATGATCTCAGCATGAGCATCAACTGGTAACAGTTTTTGGGTGCATTCGTTACTAGTGGCCACTCTGCAATGGGAGTGCACTGCTGTTTGTAGGCATGTAGGAATGACAGTAAAAAAAAAGATGGCGGAGCATGCACTATCGATAGTATCGTGATGGAGGAATCCATAATTCTAAAATGAGCTTTTAGAGGCAAAAGAAGGGTCCCAATTATAAAATTTAACCATTAAATGGACTATTTGTTGAAAGAGCATTCAAAGCAGCCACACAAACAATTAGAATGCTCGCGCGGAGTTATAAAATAATGCACCCTTTATTACATTTCATGCTGTATGAGGGTTTAACCCAATTCTCGAACCATGTTGAATCAAAGAGTGAACCCGTGCTATAGAAGTGCTGTGTTATACAGGGGTTACCTGTACATTCAAAAAAACCATATGTAGAGATATTATAATCAGTGTGAAAATGATTTTTATTTAATCTAAATTTGTTTTATTCCAAAGTTAGTGAATTAATAACTTCAGATTAAAACATGTTTAACTATAACAACACACAAATTTATTGACAAATTACTTAGTCCTTACCTTATTATGACTACACTGTACCGTAGTCATAATAAACCTGTGCCTACCTACTTCTGTGTGATTACTCCCTCATCAATAATGTGTGATATGTACTCCATAGAGCCAAAACTTAGTGTTATAGTTTCATATTTGACACAAATTTATGTTTATTGCCAATTAAAATATTAAATGCAATACTTTAATGGCCAATAAAATATTACATTAGTCATACAGCTGTTACATCATGCATTATATTAGCAAGTGTTTCCAACTGTTGACTCAAATACTTTTTGAAGTATAGAGGAACCTGCTAATGTGACCATCTTCCTATGAAAACCAATTTTATTTGGCCTGAAATTTACTCAATAAATTTCAGGAATACTTTCTCTGTATAGTGAACCACTGTTAATCTGGTTTTCCCAAAATGTTACCTGTTAAAGTGACCTCTTTACAGAAAAAACCTGGTGGGTTATAGGTTTTTGGCCTCTTTAAATGTATTGTATAGTTTTGTAAGTTTTATTCATTACTGATAGCATCTAAAATCTGTTCATCTACAATTACATAGCCCTCAATTATTGTTCCAACTAAGCCATACATAGAGCTTTCTCTGAAAGAAAAAGTTGAGATTAAGTTTTTGAATCCAATAGATAGCACAAAGCAGCAGCAAAGTTCAGAAGTAAAACATGTTAACAACATCTATAAATGCAAGGAAGAATACCTTGAACATTATAAAGACAATGAAAATAGAGTTCCAAAAAAGTGAGAGCAAATTTTGAGATAAAGGCTGCTGTTCTGAAATGGTTTCATCAAATGCATGGCATAAATTGCTGGTGTGTCTGGTGCAATGCTACAGAAAGTACCATTTAGATTTGCAGAGAAGTTTCATATTCAGAACTTCAATGTGTCAAATAATTTGCTCAAATCACTTAAGCAAAGACATGCCATTTCAGAGAAGGTACTGTGTTAAAAACTAATGCAGATAACAACAATGGAAAACCTCAAGCAAGGATATCTCAATTTATACAGTTTTTGATAAAATGAATGCATATATTGCTATATAAAACTAGAGCTGTCAACATTAACAGAAATAAATTCAAATAGCCTACATAATGTGCCATGGGTTTATTTGATGTATATAGTGACAACCCTTCTATAGTGACCATTCACCTTGGTCCCAAGGCTAGTCACCTATTAATTTAATTAATCAATTAACCCCCCATTTTTTTGAATTTTTGGAATGTTTTTAGGTCCCCAAATTTTTTCAAAGTTTTTTGCCCGCGCAAAAAAATTTTATCGCGATTTTAAAAAACGTCTAATGATGTGCACTTCACGCTTTATTGCTTTTTAATTGTTTTTTTAATGGGAGTTTGATATCAAATTTCATTCATCGTTCTAAAGTTGTAATGCACCGATTTTCCTTCGGTAAAGTTATTTAAAGCTAGTTTCTGATGTCAAAAACGACCTCCAATAGTTTTTTAATTAATAGATTTTATTATATATAAGTTTAATTAAGCCGGGGGGTCAGAAATCGCAATAAAAATTTTAATTTTTTAAAAATATTTAAAAATATACGGCCAACCAGTAGTCACCCTACTATAAACCCATCGCCTCCCGAGAATGTCCGGGAAAATCGGACTCCAGCTATTCTCAAAGTCATCCAGCTGTGTAAACAATGACTCATCAGTGTTATATTTCACAGAAAGACCAGACAAAGGAAAATAAAATTTAAAGCTTTTTCTTCAAAATAAATGCATTTCTTTCGTTTTTTTCAGTTTTAAGTATTTTTTACGCTTAATTAAATTAATGATTATAAACAATCAAAAATGTCAATGTCCTTAAGGGGTTAACTCTTTCAGGCACAAGATTTTAGTAAACCAATCCTATGCTGCACATAATTTGATATTCATGAAAATATATACATTACTTACAATAAGCTTATATTACACCAGATATGTGAAAAACATAACTTATTGACATAGTTTAGAGAACTGAGGTGGTACTGTACATTGTATTATAGAACCATGCACAACTGTGCTACTAATAGTGATACTTTTGAAAAAATGATTTGTTTTTCCAAGCACAATAGAATATTACAAACTGTGCAAATACAGTCTGTATGTACTTGCATTGTTTTCGCACTATATTTTGCACATTATCTTTAGGGAATACAAGCAGGATGATGTATATATACGTTTTGAGAGTTCTGCACAACACAATATCAGACACATCATCTACCCAAAGAAATGGCATTAGACAATATCACTAATTGTAATGCAGTCTGTGCTTTGCTGTTTCAGAGTGAACAGGTTCACTGGTAGATGGATGCTGCTTCTTTCTTTGAGGCAAGATAAGAGTTCTGATTTGGATTATATGTCAATTTATCACTATAAGTTGGATTACCAGCCTTTGCTGGTAATCCAACATATAGTGATAAATTGCTTGTCAGATGGTATGTCATCTGTTGAAGACAACCCTGATAGTTCAACTCAATGTTTCCATAATCTAGCTTGTTAGCATTATGTTTAAAAATTGTTTTAGCATGTACAGTACCTAAATGCCAAGAATCAAAATGCTGACTATTAATACTCAATTGTAAACTTAACTAAGTGTGAGATCCGAAAGGAGGGGAAGGCAATTTTAAAGAAAATTAATAGAAAATAATATTTTCTTCATGAATTTTCAATGAATTTTACCAAAAAAAAAACTTTCGATTTCAGAAAGGAAGTTGATTTCCTTTCCACGGCCAACTCATGAGATGAGTCAAAAATACAAGCTTTTGCACACACTACTTGGCCCTCAGAAAGAGCTGATATAAAAGGGACATTTTCCCACCATTCGGGGCAGTCCGTCAAAAGAGGTATTGCCACACGAAGAGAGACCATCATATGATATAGGCAATCCGTCAAAGAAGGTATTGCCACACAACTCCTGAAAAGAATTAGCCATACGATATAGATGAAAGATCATCATACAGAAAGTCTGTCATACGAATTCGTTAATTGAAAGTCATACTATAGAGCACTCCATACGAAGTATATGACAAGATTGTCATAAGAGAAGTTATTTAAGGAAAGTGCCATAGAAAACAAGAAGAATAGTTATAATTGTAGAAGATTCTCATACAACGAAAGATTGAAACTGAGAAGGTAATATGATAATCGTTAGATCGATGTAAACTCTCTCTCACACATCAGGTTTAAAATAAGATTAGGTTAAGTTAGTCATTTAGATTTAGGTTTAAGGACGATTTGTTATTCATTCGTGTACTTTATATTCTTTGATTTATTAAATGTTTTGGTTTACTTTATAAATATGGTTTGGTTAATGTTAGCTATTCATACTCATTCCTATTCAAGTTACCTACGTTCCTCATACTCACAAGTTAGAGATAACACGTGTTAATCCGCGTGTAATAAATCCGATTAACTGGTGTCTAAGGTCCTGACGTCGATAGAGACTTCACCATCTATATCCTTTTTCACTATAAAGCTCTCCTTAAAAATTTAGAGATCGAATCTCACAATTCTGAGTCAATTACGTGGTACTCCAGTTTGGTACCCCCGGCTAATCTCTCATAAGCATAGGTTAAATATATATTTTCTCTATATATTATTACTTAAAACAAGTCTAAAATGCCAACTGAACAAAAGAAATAAATAAGTGCAAGAAAATAGCTAAAAAAACTCAGTGTTGCAGTGGAGCTATTGGTGGGTCCATGTGACTCTCACAATATATTCATGCAGCATGGCAGTACAAATTTAGTACCACTGTAAAAGTCATTTCTTTATTATTTTGCATTTAAATAACAAACTTATACAAAATATTGCACAGAAGGAGATACGCAAAAGGTATAATTGAAGTATTTGTTGATTTATATCAACAAATACTTCAATTAAAACGTCAGATAAACTAAAAACCTCAAACACTACAAACATAAAACATGCTATCAGATGGAAGCAGACATCAAGGAAATGCATATTGATAAGATGACTGCTAGAACAATCACTACTAGAAAGCAATCTACTTTCGCTAGGCAGAAGCATTTTGGATCTAATAAGAGTGATGGTGCAAAATCTGAACAAATATGCTTTAAAAAACAACCTTTCTTACAAGTAGTACAGAATATGAACCACATGCTTCCTACAACCATGTACTGGTACATAAGTACCACCACGCTTGAGACAATTAAAATGAAATCTTACCTTAACTTCTGCTTTCTCGATTATTGGAGATAAATCAGTAGCATTAACAATACTGACATTATCTGGCACTTCATGCTTTTTACTTAAACTGTCTTTAGCATCAATGATGGCCCGTTCAATTAAATGAGGAAACATTTGCTTATGATCTCCAACAAAAAAGGTGTCTGGCATGTACGAAAGTTTTTCAGAATATTGGTTTGCCAAATTCAATGGAGAAGTCACTTTATCTGTAATAATATAGTCCATGAATGGAGCACCACTTGTACCAGGATATCCCAACCACATAACCTAAAATAAAAAACAAAATTATTATTAATGAAGATATAATAATAGCATACTATTTTTAACAGTTCAGAATTTTGATTTTTCAAGTACAATTGAAAATAAAAAGTAACACCTCTTTATTAATAATTTGTAGATATTTTTCATTGTTACAGAAAGTGGAAACAAGAGTATTTTTGCTATTTTTAAGTCATTGGACAGCTGTTGCCACTCAGTATGTGCACTTGAATGAAGAAAAGAATATGATATCCCCAGAATTTGTCTACAGGTGAAAAGCAGAGGTCATTTATCACTCACAGAATTCATTTTATGTGAGTGATAAATAAGAAACAATAAAAAAAATCATACTTACTAAACCTTTATTGTCCGGTACTTGTAAATTATTTGTAAAAACAAATGTTTTCGGCCTCAGTCGAGGTCTGCTTCAGGATAAAATAATTGGATATTTTAACCTGAAGCAGACCTCGACTGAGGCCGAAAACGTTTGTTTTTACAAATAATTTACAAGTACCGGACAATAAAGGTTTAGTAAGTACGATTTTTTATAAGAATACCGGTATTCAGATTAGAAGATTTTTGATTAAGAAACAATCAGACATTCATGCTGAAATAGTGAGGATTGTCTGACACTAATGTCCACAAATGATACAAAATATCTGCACAAGATTGCCTCTAATGGCTGAGCTTTGTTCTTGGTACCCATTAAGCATCATTTTGCTGAAAAAATGTTGCAATGGAAGAGGCATTGTAAAAAATCTTGTTCACAAAGATCTTAGCCAAACAGTTTGACATTTCCTTTGGTATAACACACAACACACTGCATAGAAAACTTGCAGTACAGAAAAGTCAGTTCCCACTATGTGGGTTTGTATTTTTGCCATGACTTGCCCCAATGATGCTTTCCATCTCCTCAACATTCAAACTTGCCCTAAAACTCAAAACATTCCTTTGGAATGTTGAGCGAGTTTCAGGAATGGGTAAAAGTCTGAAAAAGCCAAATCTGGTAGATATAGTGGACGTGGAAGGATTTTGAACTTAATTTCTGCCAGTTTTTGCTGAATAATTAATTCTATTGCACTTGAATGAGTGAGTGCATTGTCATGGTGAAACAGCACTTTCTTCACATCATTCCCAGGTGTTTTCCTGGATAGCTGCTTTGAGCTTATCCAAAAGTGGTACATAGTATTGGCTAGTGACAGTTTTTCCTTTTTCAAGATAGTCAGTTAACAAAAAACCTTTGGCATCCCAAAAAATCAATGCCATCAGCTTGCCAGTCAAATGAATGGTCTTCACCTTCTTAAGAGCCTGCTCATCATATCCAATCACAGCGATTTAATTTTTGTTAGCAGTGTGTTGTTGTGAATGCAAGTTTCATCCATTATCACAAATAGTCACTTGAAATCGGTTGGATTTATCTTAAACAATTCCAAACTCTTGAATGAAATTCAGATTCTGATGTGTTTGTTCTGGACTGAGCAAATTTGGAACCCATCTTGCAGAAAACTTCTGTAAAACCAATTTACTATGCAAAATAAGAACTACTTGTTCATAGATACCCAGAACTTCAATTTCACACACTGATTCAGTGATCTAACACAGTGTCATGAATTTTATCCACAATTTCAGAAGTGTAGCAGTTTTTGGATGCCTGAACATAGTTCAAACATCCAAAAACCAGGATTCAAGTATGACCCACTTGCACACAAGTGTCATACTTGGAATTCTAAAACCCAAAAACTTACTGTGAAAAATAAAGGCAATGAATCACAAAGAACATTGTACAGCCTGGATTTGATTTCCATTCCAGTTTTTTCCTCCAAGCAGAAAAATTTGATAATAACCCAAATTTCATTTTTTCTTCATGTATGAACAAGCACACAAGGCTACTCACTTCAATGCTTGTAAAAAACCTAACTATTGGCTAGATCAGTGTGAAATTTGAAGTCAATACATAAGAAAAATTTACTGATGTATCATAGAAAAACTCTTTTCAAATGAAACACCCCCTAGTGGTGATTCCAGAAACTTTTCAATCCACTCTCATGTACAAGACACTATTAACAAAAATTGATTGCGTTAAACTTATGTCTGCAAATGAGCCATTTTGATAATACAGAAAATTAAAAAGTTTTAAATTAGAGTTACCATGCAGTGGCAGGCAGGTCATGACAGCCAGCATTTTTTTAATTGTTATGATAAAAAAAATTAGAACAAAAATACTTTTAGTCTAAAGTTATTGAAAATTTGTATTAACACAAGTTGACTATATGAAGCTGAACACTATTTTACTTTATCTAAAATGACTATGTCTTGTTTATAAAATCGTACTGTCCAATATTCTTACCAGCATAGAGGTCGAGAGCTGATATTTGGCACAGAGTATTAAGTGCCCAAATCATTTGCGCATAAAAAATCCAGACTCGTAGATAGTCAGGGGACTGAGAATAAAGTCAAAATAAAATCCAAAATGGCAACCCTCTTCTACAAACAGACAAAACAGCCACCTCACCCCACCAAAATCAGGTAGGGGAGCATACCACCCACAGTCATTCTAAGAAATGAACTCTGACCTTAGGACTGAACACACAGTTTCTTATATGTTAAATAAAATTTGTAATCTAATTTTGTAAATTTGGGAGTGCTTCAAATATGATGTTAAAACGGTTTTATGTCGTTACAAGTGGGTTTTTTTTTTTAAAACATTATCTAGTATAGTAAAATCACAGGACCGATAAAAATTTGATGTTATATTAGGGTTGTCGTTACATTCGATGACATTATAAATCAGGTTAAACTGTATATTGTTTGTGCAAAATAAAATAATTTCGGATGATACAATAGCCACCATTATTTTTTTCAAAAACGGGAACTTTTCGTTATGCATCAATAAAAATTCAACCCAGACCAACATGCAACGGAGAGAAATTTTGAAATTAGATAGGTTAATTTCATCGAAGGTGCATCGCGGACGATCTCATGGTCATTGCCTACAAAGTTTGAACAATCGCGTCCAAAAGCAGTGATATCAAAAAAGATAGGAGAATGAGAATGAGAACAAGACCTGCCTTAAGCATCAAAGTGATACAGTCTCCGAGACATAGTCTTGTCCCAAATATGGTTTTGCCATTTTACTTGTTTTGAATAATAGTTGTGAAGCCACAACTGTGCATGCATTAAAAAAATTAGACAAAAACCAAGTAGAGAAAGTTTTACATACATTTTTGTTAAACTAGGAAATCTAGCCAATAGCAAGCAATCTATCATAACCTTTTGTCTTTTCAATCATGTATTAATATCTCAATTTGAAAAAGGGTAGATGTTCCATATCACTGACACACACAAGAATTTAAACATGCTTAAATCTAAATTTGACACAAAACTTAAGCAAACATACACTTCAGTTTATTAACTTTAATATATTGAAATTAATCTGTCACTATATAACAATGCCAAATCATATGATCCAATAATTGCTATTAATGCCATTAAGGCACATATGTCTTTAACAAGTGCATAAATTGTTTTAATGTCAATTATAACAGTTTGATAAAATTTACTGTATAAATTGAATACAAATATTTTTACCAATGGGTCAGTAGGCCAACAAACAGTAACTTATCCCAGAATTTCAGTTCATGTCATGTATGTTTACCAAAACTAAAAATCAGAACCAAAAACTTACTATTACTTGATTTTATACAAATGTTTTTGAACCTAAATTTTATATAACAGATTTTTTATTATTTATAATGTTACATATGACTTATTCAACACTATGCCCTAAGAGGCTTAATATTTTAATAATTTAGTATTTTCATGATATGGAGAGATATTTGCAACTGATTTTAATCAAATTATCAGTACAAAATATTTACAGCTTCTACACAAAAAGAAATTTAAAAAGTAATAGTATTATCTAACAATCTTTTACTGATTTAAGATGTTAACAAAAGCTTTAAAAATCAAATCGAGTGATATCTTAATCCCAATTACTTCTGACATAACCTATAGGCAATCATTTAGTACTTTTCTTTTGGGCTATTCAAAAGCAGCAAGCACATTCCTTTTCATTTATTGGCAATCAAAAGGAGCCATCTTGGTAAGAGTTCTGTATTTGTCAAATTTTCACAAATAAAGATAATTGACAAATTTTTGTTCTCAAAGTTTCATTTAGCTGTTCTATGTTGTACTGAAGATTACTTTCACTTGTCAACACCCATTCAAATATTTGTTTTAATACAAAAAACAGACTTTTATTGATTCCTATAAGATATATCAATCTTTCTATATTAAATCAATATACTAGTAAACCACTTATCTCAATTTGACTAGATAATTTTGTAACATTTGCTTGAAACAAGTATTCTAGTTAGATTTGAAATACAAATTTAAAACATCATAAGAAACTTGTTAAAAATATGAAGTAATACATAAAAAAATTAATTACAACAATGAACCTATTTTATAATTACTGTTACTAGATTAACTTTTGGATCAGTTATGTTCTATACTGTATATGAAGAAATTGTATTTGTAACAAAATTTTAACTTGAGACTTACTTGTATTGGGGCAGGTCTAAGAGCAAAGATTTCATTACGAGCTCCTTTAGTATAGCCATTCATGTTTACCAGGATATGAATTCCATCTAAATATATACGATCTGCTGCTTTTCCATTGCAAGGAACCTGAAAAATAATATATTTTTACAAATTATTTTGTTTATTGTAAGATAATATACTCTCTAGAGATAAAGTCAAACTATTTTATTCTAAATATACAGTCAAGCTCATGTAATGAAATCAGCTGTCAGTTAACACAAACTTTTCCTTGTAATTTTGAATCTCCAATATTAATAACCAAATATTTTGGCACTGATATTTAAATATTACAAAGAAATATGTCAATTTTAATAAAGATTTGACAAGCAGCCATACAAAAAGTAAATTATATGATAAGGAAAATCCAATCTTACTGCTCAAACTTGAAATGTCACAATCTTCCAAAGTAAAAATTTAAACCTTCCAACTAAAATTTTGTTTTGCTCCTCTGGTAATCCAGAGGATGCTTTGCTTACTGGTAATCCAGTCTGACTTTTACTTTTTAAATGTAAGCTTCTGACTAATGCTATGTGACCAAATAAAAAGGTGCTGCTTTATCCTTCTTTGCTTTCATCAAGAAAACATATTACAAATCAGTCAGGTTATCAACTTTATGTCTAATCAGCTGATTGACCATTCCTTTGTTCTTGTAGACTTCAAAACAATCAGGACCACATTCCATTCCCATGCTCTAGGTCCACAACTGTCCAATCCTGACGTTGTACTGATCAAAATTCAGTTTAATCTGAATTTTGCCTTGTTGAGAACAGACAGAACAAGCTCTTTGCAGTATGCTTTGACCATAATGTCTTAGTCTGGAAAAAAAGGGAGAGAAAAAAAAAGAAAAGCTTTGTCATTGGAGAGACAGGTATTATTATGGTCTTCCTCCTGTACTGTAAAATTTCCCACCCCCTTTTTAAAATTGTTTTTATTTAAAAAAACCAAGCATTTTCTGCATTTCAGTTATGTGAAAGATACTATGCATTTTTATAAGTCAAATGCATAAACACGTATTACAAGTATCATTATAATGAAGTTCTAGTCAGTCTCCTTTACGTTTGTTATGTACAGGTTGGACTACAACTAATAAATAAGTCAGTTTTTTTTGTTTAACCTGTCCTACATTGTTCTCAAAAATATTCATGTTGACCTCATTGACCTGCATGGGCGATCCCGAATATATTTTGTGTCTACATTGGAACGTTTTTGATACTAGATGTCGCTGTGTCACAATTTTTATATTACAACAAACTTTTAAAATATAAATTTTTTTGTTTCTATATTATTCAATATATTTATTTTGTTTGTGTAACATAAAAAATAATTTTTTACGATACAGTAAACACATTTATTATTTTAAAAAATTTTTAGGATTAACATCGATGAAAATTCAACATGGCATCACAAACAAACAAAAATTTCAACATTAAATAGGTTAAACCAAAATTTTATGATGTCTATTCAATGCTTGTACTTTACAAATTATTATTAGTATTTTAAAAAATCCAGGACAGTGTGTTAAATCATTTGTAATTCAAATGTTAATATTGAAGGCACACAGTTTTATTTCTAGATTATACCACGTGACCTATTATTAACTACACAAATGTACTTTAAATCCTTGAAACTGAACTCTGAACATTTCCTCAAGTAATTCTGATTTACTCATATTACGATCTCTAAAAAACCTTGGAATTCTCAGTGTTTAAACTCATGTATCATAAAATCTTTTCATTTCTAAAGAGACTATTCTTAGAATTACTAATGACTGTAGTAGTAATATAATTTTCTTTATGACAAGTTATAAAAGATTTATCATCATCATGGTTTGTAGAAAAATTAAGCATAATACAAAATGATATTTAAAAAAGAATTACATAACTACAAATTTCTGGAAAATTTGCAAAATATTAGTACAGAGTTAAAAACACATTATTTCCTAATGGGAAACAGGCTATCATAATTAGCATAAGCAAATATGGCAAATCTAGATTATTTGATACAGAAAATTATATAAACACTGTTACTTAAGTTTATTTTCTCAACATTCACTAGGAAAAAATATATTTATTGAGCTGTTTCTTACAAAAATGTTTTTTTTTTTTTTTTTTCACAAGTCTAAATAGTGACTGATATGGTGCAAAATCTTCATAAACAATGCTCATAGTGCTTAGGTATATTAAAACAGATATTTTTACTAAATAATATTCATGTTTTCTTTTAGGTATTATTATTTATCTTAAAAAACATGTTTAGTAGTAGAGAACTGAGAGCAATAATTTTGCTCCAATACAAATTGGGATACAACAAAAATCAAACTAAAGTAGAGCGTCGATTATCCGAATCAATTGGGGACTGGGGTTGTTTGGATAACTGATATTTCGGATAACCGACTATGTATGAAAAAATAGTTTAACATATCCGATGTTGAAATTTTTCTCCGTTGCGTGTTGCTTTGCATTGAATTTTCGTTGATGTTAAGCCTAACGAAGACTATTGTATCGTTAAAAATTATTTTTTTATTTTGTACAAACAAAATAAATATATTGAAAAATATAAAAACAATAAAAAAATAATACTTCAGAAGTTAATTTAGTATCAAAAATGTAAAATATTTGAGTAGCCCAAGATATAGCCAAAGATTGCAGCGCCACAGCACTAGCGAAAATTTAAATTCGCCGACTGGAATTCTTACGGATAATTTACGCTCCACTGTATAGCCATTATATATAGTGCCATTTCAAAAACAACATAATAAATAATATATATATATTTATGTTGTTTTTGAAAAAGCACTAAAAATTAAAAACACTGCACAATGCTACTGATAAACGTTTACACACAGTGGATTCAGACTTAACAAAAACTCTAAGACTTGGGTTTATATCTTCCATATCACTATTTGACTTCAATTAGTAAAGTGAAGAAACAATTGGGTATGAGACAAAGTAAATAAAATTCAAAGCATTAACCAGTGGAAATTGTTTTCTGTTGCTGTTAAGAAACAGAAAAGAACTATTTTTAAGTTGTATTACATGAAATAAATACGTACTTTACAACAATCAAAAAAGATTTAGTCAGTGGCTCAATTCCAGAGCACACCTGAACATTGTATTTTCACAGAATGACCAAAATGACAGAAAGCTCAAAGTTATCAGCATGCCTGTTAAACTGATTAAAGAATAAAATTAATCAGCTCTAACAAAACTAGTTGTTATTTAATTGTCAAAGAAAACATTCTTCCCAGTACAATAAAATAGAAACATTGTAATTTCACCAACTATAAAAATCAGGAAGCATTTTCATTTACAGCACAATATAGCAATCTATACTAATATTATAAAGAGGTAATGTTTGTAAGTATGTAAGTAAGTTTGTATGCATCAGGTAATCTCTGAAACTACTCATCCGATTTCAAAAATTCTTTCACTAATATTTAGAATGGAACTTCAGGGTGGACATAGGCTATATATTATTCCATTAAACATTCATATAAATTAAGTGATATCATCTATGGTTAAGGTTTTTACGTCCAAAAGATGGTGCTACGAGTACGACGCCCTAACTTTGCTTTTCTGTGAAAATGAACTAAAGCAGATCATCTTCTATCTATTTATATAAATAAAAATGTTATGTTCGTTTGTTCCTACCGATTCCTTTGAAATTTTGACACAATGCTGCATTCGAATACGCACGTGTTTTTATATAATATACATGTCAAAATTCAACCCTACTGAAGGGAGATGGTTAGGATTAAGGCTTACGGTAAAGAACTCTGCTTCTATTTATACTATTTTAGATGCAGGTTTTTGCGTTTTAATAGGGTACGTCAACAGAATGTACACTAACAACAAATTTTTCGATATTTCCCCCACGGGGAGAGAGACAGGATTAAGGCTTACCGTGAAGAACTAGGCTTCTATTTTACTATTTTTGATGCAGGTTTTTGTTTTTGATTGCGTTTTAATAGGGTATGTCAAGAGAATGTACACTAAGAAGAAATTTTGAGAAATTCCCCCCACGGGGGAAGTGTTATAAATTTATAATAGATACATTTTGAGCCACAACAACGCATGGCAGGGTCTGCTAGTTAATTATAATTATTATGTCAATAAGTTATTATTATTAGTAGTTAGTGTGGGCTGCACNACATGCACTGAAAAAATTAGCAAGTACACAGAACTTGCCCAGGAAATAAGGCATCTATGGAGGATGGATAGGGTAGTTATTGTACCTGTTGTTCTTTCCTGTACAGGTGTGATACCACACACACTACACAAAAGCCTGGGAACATTAGAATTGAGTAGAAATACATACATAACACTACAGAAGGCCACTATATTGAATACATGCCACATTGTTAGGAAATTCCTAAATACAGACACTGCCACACTTATTTAATTAGTTTTGATTGCTATGCCTTGACTCTGGTCCGGCATAGTACACAGCCACCGGTGTGAACCGAGTAAAACTCACTAAACTCAACATAATAATAAGCAATTTGACATTCCACAAGTATTTTACATCCTTGGAAGACAAAATAAAAATAATTAAACATATAATCACAGTTTTTGATGTAATTCTAACAGTTCCTAGTTTTAGAATAAAAAAATCGTTTGTTTTTATGTGACATAACTTGTTTTTTTAATGCACCCTCTAGAGGGATGTATAATCGCACAAACTGGCATGCTAGTATTCCAGAATGCTGGTTTTTACACCATACAAATAGCTGGTTCATGGTCTCCCAGGAAAGACAGACATGCCAGACAATCCACAAAAATATGGTACAAACCAAAAACCATCATCCTGCATCCAAAAAGTCATGCTGCATTTTTATTTGATGAGCTTTCAAGAGTCTATACCAGGCCTGGCCAACCCAATTGTTTCACGGGCCACTTTGATCACACATAACATTACAGCGGGCCACAATTTAGGCAAACAATCTTTTAAAAAAGTAAAACAAATACAAAATGAATAAGATTTTATTGTTATACCAAGAATTCGTACTCGCACTTGCACATTATAACAATCACACATGCAAATTTTCATTTATTTAATTGTTTTGGTATACATATAACGGGAAACAAAAGTTTTAATAGATATATAATATCACTTAGCGGGCCACATGTGGCCAGGCCTGGTCTATACCATCAATAATTATCACAATTTCAATTTACTGATAAAATTTATCAAATGAAAAATCAAAAGTTAGTTTTATATAAACTAGCTTTTGGGGGAGAAAAAAAGGAACTTTGAAATATTATAAATACTGTTACTTTTGAATGTGCCTGTTTTTCCCCTTGATATAAAATGAACACATTCTGCAGCAAATAAATATCTGATGTTTATGTGATTTTGGAGTTATTCAATAGAACTTATTCAATTAACTGAAAAAGTTACTCATTTAATGAATTGTTCTATTAAATATTTTTCCAAATAATGAAATTGTTTTAACCTTTATTACATTACAAAATAATAAGTAAATGCAAGATTAAGAAAAAATATCTTTCAAATATATTACTACTTGCAGTTAATAGAATATTCATCCATTCTTTTCTAGAAAAATGAGTTATAAATAAACAGATTATCTTGTTAAATTAAAAAGGTTAAAATTAAAATTAAAAACTACTTGGATTCTCTCTATGAATGGCAAAGTTAGTTACTGAGTACTTATTGCAATCCAAAGTTAAAGATTTTAAATAAAAATGTGAAAGAAGCTTATCTGATTTCACAGAATCTCAATTTTGTAGTTTTTTTAATAATAATCATTTAACAAAGGTTTAAAATTTTGCAATTACCTGAGATAAATCAACAAAATGCTCTGTTTCATTGGCAATTTTTGAACGGAATGTAGTTCCATCATCAGGACTTAATGCATAGCAGAAAATCTATATTGAAAAGAAATCATCAAAAATTAATAGAAATTAACTTTATGCAAAAAAAGGAAACTTACTTTGGAACATTATAAATAAAATAAAATATAATAAATGAACTATATTATTTTATATATCTTTATTTGTAAAACAAACTTTAATTACTAAGAGCATTACTATTCACAAAGTTAAATAGTTATAAAGACAACTAAAATACAATGGGAGACACTCTCAGGATTATCTCCAAGTGTTTAATAGGTGAAAGTATACAAACAAATATAAACAGAGCTAAAAATAAATCAAAATATTCAATGAAGAGCCTATATCTTGGAAAAAGGCAATGTTAAATTGGTTCAGCCATATGTCAGTGGTTCCCAACCTTCCTTGTTTTGCAAATCACTTCCAAATACAAAATTTTTACTCCAACTTCCTTTGGCAGACTTATGACATTACTTTTTGTAATTATGTATGTCTAAGTTGTTATCTTTTGTCTATGTAAGTCCAAATATTAAAAAAAATCTACATTTGATATTAAAAAAATTTTACTGGCATTTATTATAATTTGTATCCAATTAAACAAATAATTGCCAATTTATTACAGCAAGTCTTTTGTGAAGAATTAAGTATTTTTCCAAAAGATATTTATTTCAAATTATTACATACTGTACTTCATAAAGGTAGAATAATTGTGTGTAACTAAAAAGCATTAAAACTAAACAATTATAAAATCTGTCTTCGAAGTTGCTTCTCTGAACACAGTTTAGCAGCATTTGGCTACATTACAGAATATTTAGCATAAACACCCTCATGAACTAAATAATGTATTGATAGTACAGTATGCAAAAACAAAGAAAAAACAAGGTTTAAACTTTGAAAAATAAATTTTGTAATTTTATAAATTTCATGTTTATCTTAATTCTTTGGGAAATTACATTTTTAATAAAACTGATAATTTCATTATTTACTGGTTGTAAATTTTACAGCTAAAAGATAAGAATGCACAGTTTATGTAAATAATGTACTATATCAAATTATTGATATATAGCTAAACAGAACTTGTTTCAAAGCAGAACATTTCAGTTGAACTTCATACTATGACAAATCACATACTTCTATGTTCAATAAAAATATTTGACTTCTAAAAAGTTGAACTTACACAGTATTTATGATAAAGTTATCAAATGAAGATTTATTAGCAAGAATTAAATCTTAAATTATAATAAATTGAAAATGATAAATCTAATATAGAGATTGATATTTTTGACTTAATCTATGAAAATTGAACATACTTACTTCTACTTTATCTCTATTATGCATTCCAGGGACACTTTGCATTAAATGAGAAGTTGGATGATTACCAAAATCTGAACTAACATAGCCTATTCTAAGCCGACCATTACTAGTAGCTAGGTCTTTAGGATGTTGATAAGGTGGTTTATGTAATACCTGAATCTAAAAAAAATCCATTGTTAATTAAGCAATCCTTTGCAATTAAAACACAACATATATTTCTGAAAATAAAATTTAGTACCTTTTCTAAGCACAAGTTTGCATGACGAGCAGCAATAGCTTTGCGAAAATCATGTGACAATGGATATAACATGCTATGGTGAGGATGAACAGATGGTAACCTATTTTTATCCAATTGATCAGCAACAATTGCTACCAATTTCTTCATTCTTAACTCATAATCGGTCCAATCACAAACAATCTAGTAAACAAAACAATAATAATTAAATTAATGGAAAAAAAATCAATATCTCATTTATGACTTAACCATACCTGGAGGCAATGGGCTAAATTACAATAGGCATCAGGAAAGTCCGGTTTCAATTTCAGAGCTGTGCGATATGACTGAATAGCTTCAGGAATGTTTCCAGAATCCTAGTTATTAAATTTCTTTAAGTAACAATGAAAAAAGCCTTTTTAAATCTTACAAGTAAATCAATTAAAACAACTTACTTTATGAATAGAGGCTAGATTGCTGTGTGCATCAGCAAATGCAGGATTAATTTGTATAGCTCGAGTATAACATTGTAGAGCACCTTGTATATCTCCCATTTCCTTTAATGTATTCCCCATATTAGAGTAAGCATCAGCAAATGTTGGTGAAATCCTACAAATGAAATATGAATAACATTAAATAAACAAACATGATGTAAATTTCATCTCTCAATTACAATAAAATCATACCTAATCGCTTCTTTATAATGCATAAGAGCATCATTAAGTTTTCCTTGTTGCTGTAGAACACTTGCCAAATTTGAATGTGCAGCTGCAAATTCTGGAAATACCTATAAATAAATTTTGCAATTAATATAAAGCTGAATTAGTAAACTAATAAATATTTTCTTTAATTCTGAAATTTTAAAAATAATCCTCAAAACTTAAAATTCATTAGATTTTGACATTGATATTCTAAGGAAAATGATACTCAAACTGTCAACTACTAAGCAAACAAAAATGTCATATATAGCAATTTAAATTAATTTTAAATTTAAGTATGTTTTTAAAATAAAAATCTTTTTAACTACTCAGTATTAACTATAAATGTGCTTTAATTCAAGTTTTGTAGACAAAAATTATAAGGAAGATAAATTAGCACAAGAACTTGATAAACTATTTTGAACATTTTAAAACTTTAAAAGCTATAACAAATACTCACATCTAAAGCTTTTAAGTATAAACGAGTAGCTTCTTCTATAAAACCTTGCTCTCTCTTGATATTAGCTAGATTATTTAAAGAATCTGCATGTGTTGGACAAAGACGCAGTGCAGTATTATAGCATTCCTCTGCTTCTACCACTAGGCCTTTTTCTTTAAGAGCATTTGCAAGATTACAATAAGCATCAGGAAAATTATGTTGCAATTCAATAGCTCTTCTGTAGGTGTCTATGGCTAAATCAATCAATCTAAAAATAAAATTTAAATTCATAAACTGAATACTGCTAATAATGAAAAATTTAACAAGCATAATATGAAGTATAAAATTGCTATGAAGAACTTATCACACAGGAACACTACAACTGTAAAAAAATAACAGTGTTATTTGTTTTATCCCCTTTGTTTTGAAAAACTTAGTTACTCTAACAGTCACTACTAAATATCATTTGTTTTATCAAATTGTACAATAAGGATTGAAGACAGCAAATAGCCCAAAATACATTTCCACTGTACAAAAAGTCTATATTATTAAGTGTTTGTGTGATAAGTACTACATAGCAATTTTGTGCTTACTTCAAAGGACAAGCAATCAAGTGTTAAACACAATATGATTTATAAACTTACCCTTGTTCATAATATACACAAGCAAGATTTCCATGAACCACAGCATTATTGGGACTTAAATTTAATGCTCTTAAGTAAGCAGCAACAGCTCTGAAATTAATAAAAATTAACTTTTTTAAATAAATATTCTTTAATAGTTATTTTTAATAATTATTTAAATTACCTGTCAAATATTCTAGCTTCTTTTAAGACATTTCCTAAGTTTATATAGGCATCCAAAAAATTAGGATCTAAAGCAACAGCCTAAGAACAAAAGTATCTATATAAATAATCTTTTGTCTTTAAACTTAAATTATTTTAAACAAAACTATTAATGACAACTTATTTCATACAGTAACAAAACTAGAATAAAGTATAAACCTTCATAAACAGAAAAAATAGTTCAGAACTGAGTTATTGTCTATCTTAAATTTTATTGTAAGCCAGAAACCTGTTTACTGCAAAAATGAGAGCTTTGAATATAAAGAATATAACTTAACCTGGATACAGGAAAAAAATTAAGATTCCATTCAGAGAGAAAGAAAAAAACAAATCATGTATATCAGCCAGAGCATGAAGAACTGTATTCCAAGAACAATTTCAAACCTTGTCAGAGAAATAATGACAACATGACAAGGGGACATACAGACAGTGTGTTATAAATAATTGAATTGAATATAGAAAGAAGAGAACTTTCAAGAATTGCAATGAGTTTGAGAATTAAACTCAAGAACAAGAAACAAATGCAATTCATAAAAACAACGAGAATGAGATAATAGTGCTCCTAATTTGCCTTATGAATTAATTGGTAATCAACTAATACCAAGTATTAAAAAACAAGTTGATTAATAATTAACATATTGATAATTACAGAAAATTAAATGATTAATTATAGTATTAAAATACCTTCAGAAGTCAGTCACTAAATAACTTGGTCTCTGTATTACTGTAATGCAATTATAATTTCCAACAGTGGAGTGATACTAGGTCTTTGTATTCAAATTGGCTTCTTTACTGTCATGTAAGTGCATAAAAATGGCATCTACAAAATATTTGAATACATAGCACAAGTTCTTGGGAGCAATGAGAACTTGTGCTATCAGAAAGTTCAGTTCTTGTATTTAAATGCTCCCATCTTTAATTGAAATTACTTTGAATTACACATAATAAACCTAAAGAACAAAATACTAAAATGTGTTCAAAATGGAAACCTGCCAAATCTGAAAAAATACAGTGGAACCCTGGTTAACAAACTTAATCTGTTCCGTGACTCCGTTCATTAACTGAATTGTTTGTTAACCAAAGAAATTTTTCCCATAGAAATTAATGCAAATGCAATTAATCTGTTCTAGTCTCCGAAATTTTTATGATTTTATTTGTAATATATAGTCGATCACCCTATAAGACAGTAGATACGTTCCATTCTTTATGAATCAATTTTGTAGGAATCACAGCCCGTTACGTATGAAGTTTACTGTTTGAAAGGTTTTCTTCCATAAAATTAATCAATTCTAGACTAATCCGACTCAACATTTCCAAAATACGTATATTTTTTTTTGGAAATAATCCGTATAAACTACGCTATAAACACAAAACTGTAGGATTACTTACCGAGTGTGCACCATTCGACATCGCCATTGCTCAAGCTTGTTTTTGTTGTGGAACAGCGCAGCAAACCGCGGCCGCGATTTCTGATGTTATTTTTCTGTGAAAACTTCGTTGAACTTTGGCGAGATCATTAATATAAATAATTTTAAATCGCCATTGAATAAGAAATGTTTCTTTCACAAGAAATGTATAAAATTACAGTACTGTATTAGACTTATGGTACCTAATTTACATACTGTACAGACGATAGCTCGCCTAAACTCTCCGTAGCGTGGCGCTGGATGGCGGAAAGTATATATATAATTATAATAAAGTTACAATAAATTAAGTTAATATATAATTATATATACAGTACCTAATTTATATATAATTATATGTACAGATGATACTAAACTCAATTTACTCGCCTAAACTGTCTGTAGTGTGGCGCTGGACAGCAGAAAGTAGTTCGGCTGCCCGATGACGTTTTACCGAATTACAGGATTTTTTTACCAGGTTTGTACGGATACCGTTGCAATTTTTTCGCCGTCTTATAGGAATCGTAATTATAGGAACCAGTCTTATAGGGGGATCTAATGTACAGTAATTTTCTTTGATGAAAATGTAGGAAAACGTAGTATCTATCATTACAGCAACAAACATGTCAACTTTGTTTAATAAAATAGCACTGTAGATACCTTCGTTTGTTGTAGTTGGTGACAGAAAAGTGGAAATATACGAACCTTAAAGCTTAGAAAGAGAATCCCCTCCAAAAAAATAACAGGTAGCACTTCATCAGTAAATTCTTCAAGTCAAAGTCTCTTTCGATAAAAAAACCCACCAGTGGCTAAGTGGTCTTCATACCTTGAACACAGGGAGTTTTTGTTCGTGGGTTTGCACCTCGCTCAGACGGGCTGGCCACATGGAGTTTTCCAGGTTTTCTCCATGTCTAACGCCTAAATGGGCCAGTTTCCCTTAAAAGCACCTCCAGAAGGCATTCCCCCTAGGCAGATCGCCCAAGTGTTGCATTGCCATAAACAAACAAACTCTTTCCGTAAGGAACAAGAAATTCATCTAAAGTTGATTGTCTTACTCTTTTAATCAAGATTTTTCTCAAATGTGATAGCACAGTGTCATTTATATTGCGTTGTCTATTGCCACTATGACTTTCTTCTTTCTTGGATGCCATATTGATTAAATATATAAATCACAAAACTGAAAAAAGAAGTATAGCACAAACACTCGGAAAAGCAATGCTTAACTTGCACATGCTTAACACCAACTAAAATTTGACACAAAATACTGTTGCATTCGTTATCAGAGACAAAATTTTTGCAAAATAAAAGTTTGTTAACTGATTTGGTTGTTAACCAGGACGTTCGTAAACAGGGGTTCCACTGTAATTTTAAACCATGCAATTCTGATTTATATTGGATTTATTGTACTTATCCTTATAAGTAATTTATAAAATCATAATTTTTGTTTTGCATATGTAATTATTTTATATACAAGGTGATTCAAAAGGTCTTAGCCAAACTTAGGTCAGGAATACAAAACCAAACCATTTTCACCTAAGAACATATAGTAACAAATGCCACTGGAGTTGCTATGAGTACAAGAAGAATCACGTGGAAAGGAATACAAATTAGGTGTACTGTACATGTTTATTAGACATACATGTTTACAAGTCCAGAGGTAGTGCTCAAAATTCTTTCCACCAGCAGAAATATATGTCTCACAACATCAACAAACATATTCAAAAATGCCAACCCCCTCACAGACACATGCAGCTACCACAAAGACTTTTGTGACTAGGTCAGCATCAGAAACTAGGTGGTCATCTTCTAAACAAGGCCTTTGAGGTAACCCTCCAGAGGAATAAACCAATGGGGACAAGTTGGGTGATTGTGATGGCCACATTATGGATCAACTTTAACCAATCTATTGTACAGGAAAGGTGCCCCTCACATCAAACTGAAATGTGTGGGCACCTACCCCATCATGCTGAAACTACCTGCATAAGAACAAACAAGATCCTCATGCAGTAGTTCTAGCAACCACTCCTCCAGAAATATCCTATAATTATGTCCATTTAGGCAAGATGGAATAAGGTATGGCACAAGCAAACAAACAGTCTCCAACAATGCCTGCCCATACATTTATTTATGAACTGTTGTTGCATGGCATGAGGGCATATATAGCTCAGGTCATGCACACACATGCAAATTATAAACAGTAATCACCACACTCAGGTGAGAAGATAGTTTCATCAATTGATTAGAATCCATGCTAGAAATTCCAGATGTTCAGCACATTGTTGCAAAACCAACATGCAAATTCCATATGCTGGCAGCAATCTCCTGGTTCCACTAACTGGACCAATTGCATGTGCAAGGAGTGCAACCACTTCCCACATAATATTTGCCTCCAGTACACCAATGTGCTGTGAAATAGCTCATGTACTGTACTTCTATACAAATTGCAAACAATTTGGTGTATGAGTGCTTCTTTCATGGCTTGCAGATGCATTATTCAGTCCTAACCACAATAGGCTATTTACTTCAAAATGATCCCACTTCACATAATCTAATACAAAAGTGCATATGTCTAATGATGGGGCACATCTGTTTCCATTCATTACCCCCATAAGTTAAGTGCATATTGTCATTTCAGTATATTACTGTAGCAATGAATCCTACTCCTGCAATGTCACAACAACAAAACAATTTCTAAAAAACAATGCTCTCTAGAAAACTCAAGTGGCATTTGTGGCTATATGTTCCTAGGTAAAAATAGTTTGTTTTGTAATTCAAGATCTTTTGAATCATTGTGTGTATTTACTGAACTGTTCTTTCCACGTCCTCACTGTTATATAGATTAAATCATACTCAAAGCTGTTATCAATCAATTCCGTAGAAAAAGAAAAAAATAAAACAAAAGCAAGAACTATTAATTCTCTTCATTGGTATTATAAAGATCAATAATGGGAAAGAAAATATAGGTATATAGAATTGGATTCAACACCATCAGTAAAGTCACACATTTATAATCCTTTGATAATCCAGAGCATAAATGTTTTTACAAACATGCAATAATGTTTCTCATATGTCATTCTTCATAAAACAAATTTTAAAAAATTGAAAGTTTTACACAGTAGTTCATTCAGTAAATATTTGAAAATAAAATTGCAGAAAAATAAATTTAAAAAAGTTTATGGTTATTTATAATATCAAAATATAATTTCTGAAGTAACATTTGATAATGCAAATAATTATAATATTTAAGAGATTGTAAAGTAATTATATAGTTCAAGAAATTAGTATCAATGAAACTAAAAAAGCTTGCTAATTTAAAAATATATATAAAATCATTATTGATTAAGCATACTTTTAATCCTATTTATTCATCCTTTTTCACTTATGAATAAATAAGACAATTTATGCTTTGTAAAATAAAAATTAGAATATTCAATTAAAAACTGAAGTGAAAATACAGTCAGATAGTCAAGAAGCTATATAGTACTTTTTTTTTTATATTGTGAAACAATAACTTATTATAGCAATTACTTTTCCCTTCACTCTTCTTTCAATTACTTTGAAATAAGTAAATGAAGATGGAATAATAATAGGATATTAGCAAATAGACCAGTTTGTTATATCTTTGAAAAATTATTACCAGCAATGACAAAGTAAATTTCATTAATTTTAATGGAAAAAACAGTTGCTCAGATTTATGAAAATCATTATGCAGGTTTAAAATATTACGGAACAATTTTTATTTCATAAAAGACAGCTACCATATTAGCAGTGTCTACAAAGTATCAAAATATTTGAAGTCCATTCATACAGTGCTGGAATAATTACCAGGTGAAGAACATATGCATTTATAATACATATGTATAGACATTAATTTTAATAAGATTGTTTGTTTATTAATACATTTATTATTTCCGTAAACAAACAATTTAACTTAAAATGCATGGATTTAATAAACCTTTACGGCAAAAATTTAACTTAAACAAACAGTAATTTATAATACTAATTAGATTTTACTTACCTTTTCAAAATGATGTATGGCTAACCATATTTCTCCCTGAGCATTAAAAACACATCCAAGATTGCTCCAGGCAACAGCAAAGGTAGGACAGGTTTCAATTGCCTTCAAGTAGCATGCCTGCCAATTTAAATGGAGGCAGACAGGAACAAAAATAAAAATAAAAAATAAAAGGACATATATAAGTAATTATTTCAAATAATTTTATTAAATTACACAGCCAGTGTTTGATGTGAGCAGGAAAAGGGACACGACGCAGCGCAGCGCGCGACAACGCAGCTCCTAACAGGAACAAATTTTATTGTCAGTATGATTCAGAGAGCCAAAAGGACTCCTGTAATTGGGACAATTTTTTTTGTTCCTATTAAGAATTAACGCAGCAGCAATGCGCAGCGCAGCGCAGGGGAGAAGATGCACTGGCTGTGATTTTTCAAAAGCGCACATGCATCAGTGCCATAAAGTTGCATCTAAAGTGACAGCTGTTTTTAATACATTTAAAAGTTATTTAACTTACTGGATGTCAGTTAAGACTCCTTATTGAGGCAATCCAAAATCCTACAGCTGCTTTCCCACATATTATTTCAACAGATGTGAACTGATAATAACTGTGGAGAAAACCAGAATAAAGAGGATTGACAGTGGGTCTATTTTTTTTTTCTCTACTAGATAAAAAATGTAATAGATAATTAATGTTAGCCACTGTCAAGGAAAGCTGTTCAATCTTTACTGATTACAAGCTATAAAAAAACTGCAGGTAAGTCAAAATCCTGGTAAAAAAATATTTTTCATTACCGATGTGACCGATGCCCATGATGAAAGACCGGATCCACTTAGTCTATGGCTTTGGCTGGATCTAACTCACTTGTTCTGCACCAAGTACAAATGTTGTATTAATATGATTTAAAATCTTCAGGGAGAAAAAGAAAACGGTACATTAATAGCGTTCTGACATCCTTTCAGTAGAGAAATCTGTAATCAATCCTTTTCCTTTTGCATTCAGAAAAGATTTTTATTTATTCTCAAATTTTTATTTGGTCTTATAAGTATTTTGAAAATACCTCAATATTAGCAGTCCATTAATAAAATATTTTAAATTTATTAAATAAAGCAAAGCTTTTACATAATACAAAAGAATAAGGATAATATATTTATTATCAAAGTTAAGAAATATACACAAATTTTTACAAATTTTACTAGTAAAAATATTCATGCAAGTATGAAATGAGGAAAATAATAGGGTTACAATACTAGTTTTTCAGTGGCAATATTTAAGACTGAACTTATTTTGAAAAAATAAGTAAGAGGCCAAATTACCTAATACTGCCAGCAAGCAGTAAAAAATCGCGCGCAGCAGCTATAATATGCACAAATCGCAGCGCGCAAGAAAGGATGTCGAAAGATTTTTGTTCAGAAACCAAATTTTAGAAAATATATAATTTTTTCTCTTTGTCCAAAACTTCCCTCCCAAAAATCAACAAAAGAAAAAATATAACATCCTTTCTTTGAGAAACTGATGAGTCTTCAACACAGGGAAACGGAATCCACTGTCGTAACTTGCATATCAGTTTTGATACAACATGGAATTTCTAGTTCTTTTTCTCAGTTATAATTTATTACAAAAATTCCCCCACACTAGATAATCCCGGTTATATCAATTCTGATACTTTAAGTCAGTCAGAGCCTGAAAGATCTCCAATGGACTTATTAGCCCACAGAGTTATACTGAAACCAATGATTTTTCTCATTTTAAGCATTCAAGTAACTTGGACTCTTTTCTTTATTTTTATTTATTAAGTAAAAATAGCTTAGCAACAATTCTATATAACCACTGAAAACCTAGAATAAGGTACAGTGGGAAGGAAATGGGAGATTTTATTCATTAAATCATTTAAAACAAAACAATTTAGCAATCATTTTATGAAAGTTCTTAGCAAAGGGAGACAAGGGAACATACAAAGGAAAAAAGGATAAATATTCAAAGCACATCACAACAATTAATTGCCCTACCTTTGCTTCATCAAGACGACCTAAAGCTTTCAAGAGATTACCTAAATCACTGCGAACGCAATATAAATCCTAAATTAAAAAAGAAAAACAATTATAATTATTTTGTCTTGGAATTTACTCTTAGGTATTAAAAATAAAAAAAAGTACTCACTGGATTATATTGTAGTGCTGATACATAAGCTTGTACAGCTTGTTCCATATCACCTGCAGCAACAAGAGCAGCTGCCAAATTGATATAACCATCAATAAAATCTGGCTTGAGCCGCACAGCATGGCGATAATTCTCCAAAGCCTCCTGTAATTGTCCTCGTTCCTTATAGACATTTCCCAAGTTTGAATAGGCTTCTGCCAACAATGGATTCTGTTTGATTGCTAATGTACTGAAATGTGCAGATCTAAAAAAGTTATTATATATTTAATTCTAAACTGTGATATTTAATTAATAAAAATATATACAAAATCACTTATACTTACTTATCTAATCGACGACATTGAAAATGTATAGAACTTAATAATAAAAGCACTCCAGTATTTGTTGGATCCTGTCTCCATAATTGCATGCAATGACGCTCAGCATTCTCATAGTCACCTGCCTGATATTCTCTGTGTGCCAATTCCCCCAAACCTTAAAAAAATAATTCTGATTCTATGAAAGTTCAAAATAATTTAAATTTTAACCCTGTTCATAAAATCACATTAATAATTTCCATTTATTTAAATTAAACAAAATTGACACATGAATTCAATATAGTGATTTTATAAAGCACTGTTTAAAATTCAAATAAATTAACAAAAATGATAGTAGATAACCAATCTTTCCAAATATAAAAATTCTGTCTATTAACATCTACATATTATTTTCCAAAGTGACATGGATAAACTTCATTATTGAATATCTGTTTAAAAAAAAAAAAGCATTACATACCTAATAAATATATCTTAAAAGCAGAATAATTCATTTCACAATAAATTGAACACTACTGTTGTTTTCATATTTTAAGTAAATGATTTAAAATTTTAAACAGAAAAACTGAAATTATATTTTTATTCATCTACCTCCACTCTTCATGTTGAATAAACTTTAACATGCTTCTTTTATAATCTTGCTAAATATTTTAATAATTGTCAGAATTTTCAGAAGGAAAATTCTTAAAATAACCATTCATAACATTAATAGAATGATTTAACCAAAACATTTCAGTTCAGAAGTCATTGATTTAAATAATCAAAATTAAATATGTTAAAAAAAAAAAATTAATGAAAATTATTACTCCTACTATTACAACAGTGATTAAATCCAGAAGTTCTCATAGCTTCACCAATACAAAGTTTTTTAGTGAAATAATATTTTTAAAATAAATGCTTATGTTTAATTATTAAATACACAGTAAAATAGAAAATTATGTGGATATTTCTATATTTAATAATCTGTGTAGCATGTGAAGTAAATAAGATTTTCAATTTTCATAGTATAAACCAAGTAATGAGCAACTTTTTCTGGATATGAACAACAAATTAACTTTGCAGGCTTCTGTTAAAGCAAATGTAATCCCCCCTCATTAGAGTTGCAGTTAGAAATAGCATCTATTATTTTAGTATCTAGTATACTGTAGGTTATCAAATATATTGATATATTTCATAGGCCTTTAAGCCCACTGAGTAGAAACATTTTAGATAACCTCCAATACATTATAAAATATTACTAGTTTATATATTATATGCTAATTTTATGTAGTTTACTTTCATCTTCTCACCAATCAAGTTTAATTTGAATGTTCTTTGAAAAAAATATCACAAATATCAGTTTAATAATTACATTGATATTGATATTTGTGATATTTTTTGTCTTCTTGTTGCAAAATGTCTTGAGGCAGAAAAAAAAAAACATATA